CGTTCGGGAAAGATGGTACATAGTAGTACATAGCTTGGCTGCCAGGAGTTCCAAAGGGGTTGCGTTTAGTCCTTACTGTAAGTGACTGGATAATGGGCCCCCCGTACCACCAATAGCCACCCCTTTGTGAAATTACATAACGTCAGAGGGCTATGGCACGGTCTTTTGCCCCAGATCAGCCGCTTAAAGAAAGACCCTGCACAGCTTGTGCCCAGTGATTCTCTCGCAGACCTGCTATGCAGGCAATACACATCTTGTGGCAGTTGTTTGTAGTCGAGGATGTGGATGTGGAATGATGGCCGTCACAACCCACTGGTTGTTCACCTATTTTCCCTTTCATCACTGCACCTGCTACTGGTAGCAACTGGTTGTTGCTAGACTTGCTCGTTCTGCTGCTTGACCACACAACACCGAGGGCCGCTGTGAAAAGCCACTTGACTGCACAAGCCTCCTTTACTTGGCTGCGACCTTCGGTAGTTTGTTCAAGAGAAGTTAGATTGAAGTATGCTCGAAATATCAATGTTGCCAGTAGATAGTTATTGTGGGCATCGGCGACAGTGACAGTAGATTCAATTCTTGCTTCTTACTTCTTGTAGAGTTTGGGAATATTCATTTGTGTTGGGTACCGTGACTGGTTCAGACTTGGGAAAAGACATGACCAGGCTAAGCTGCTAAGATGCTGAAGCTGCTTGAACTTATCTCAACTGTGAGATTTGATCGGAGTCGTCGATAGCTGGCTGATACCGTGAATGTTGGAGGCAGGCAATCTTTAGCAAAGTGTTACATTGAATAGACTTTGCCATGCAATGTTCTGCCCAAATGTGAGGAGAAACAGTAGAAACGTGTGAAAAACATGGTTCAACCACGAACAAAACAAGCTTTGTGATGTATGATTGTGCCCACAGAACCGCACACAGTACCGCACACATATACACACACACCCATCGTCAAGTGGAGAAAAAATATAACCCAGACACTCCATGTATGGCATATTTGTATACATTGGGTTGAGTGAAATTCTGAGTTCATGCCTCACGGCCTTATGGCTATGATCAAGTGTAGAACATGTTTCACATGACACGATACCGCAGGCGCCTTAGGCACAAATCTGTCGAGTTTGGTAGCGGAGCCTAGTGCTCCGTTGCCGATCCAGCGCCGCCATAGGCTGCTGGCGCTCGGCTTGGCTGCTACCGCGAGTTGCGCGGTAGGCTCTGGTCTGCAGGGCCTTTGGAGGAGGAGATCGAGATCCTGCTCGGTCGGTGACAAGAGAAGTCAGAAGGCTCTGACGAGGACAGAAAACTACCTCACTTGGGGTTGAACCCAAGAGGAACAAACAACACAGAAAACTACCTCACTTGGGGTTGAACCCAAGAGGAATAAATACTACATCCTTGAGAACCTCATCACAGGCCCCGTGGACTCCATCGATTACAAGATTGCTTGACTATGAATCCACCCAGCTCTGGGAGCATTCCGCTCCAGGAGTATCGGCGGGACATTCCGCCGGGCTGGATTCCAGGTGATGCTTCGTATCCCTTGAGGACCTACTTCGACAAGCTGAAGCTTTGGTACCGGATCGCCAATGTGGAGGATGAAGCCATCGGTCCACTGGTGGCTGGACGACTATATGGTCGAGCATCCACGATCGCCATGTCCTTGAGAGTGCCAAGGCCAGACGGCACCTTCGATGTTGGCGATGCAGCGCTGGTTCGACTAGCTGTGGATGAAGTCCGCGACCCAGCGACCAATGTGATCATCCAGAACCACATTCCCTCAGGAGTGCAATTCTTGGCCAATGCACTCCGCACGGCATTCGGTCAGCAAGACCAAGATCTGGCGACACAAGCACTGGACAAGTTCTTTGGCCTTGCAAGAGGAAAGCTCAGCCTGTCCGAATACAGCGTCGAGTTCGACAGCCGGTACGATGATGCTCATGACAGAGCTGGACTGCAGTTGAACGATGTCGGCAAGTTCTTCCTATGGTTCAAGAACTCTGGCTTGCCATCCAAGACGGTTGATGACATCAAACTGCAGGTTGCTGGCGACTACACTCGCTTCAACGACGCTCGAGCTCTGGCATTGCGCATCAACCCTAATCGGCGAGAACCTGATGACGCCCAGATCCTCTATGAAGAGAATGATGAGTCCTATGGCGACTACGACGCCTACTACCAGGACTGGGGCGATGACTATGAGGCCGAGGATTCATGGTGGTATGGCTATGAAGAGGCCGATGAAGGTGAATGGGTCTATGAGGAGTACGCCAACGACGAGAACTACTATGAGAACCATGATGCCAGCGATGAGTCATGGCAAGAGGTGGACCTTGAGGCTGGCATGACATCTGGTTCAGCAAGCGACTCCAATGTCTCGGGCGAGTACAACGAAGCCTATTGCAAAGGAAAAGGCAATGGCAGTGACGACGGTTGCTTCAACTGTGGCAGCAAGTTCCACCGAGTTCGAGATTGTCCACTTGGCAAGGGCAAGAACAAGAAGGGCAGCCACAACTACAAAGGAAAAGGAAAGTCAAAAGGCTTCTGGAGATGGCGACCCAACTTCAAAGGAAAGAGCAAAGGCAAGAGCAAGTATCCTTGGAGAAGCAAAGGCAAAGGAAGAGGAAAAGGCTTTGGTCGAAAAGGCCACTACTACGCCTACCAGGAGGAGGACAACTACAAGCCTCGTGGTGGTCTGTCGATCAGCGAAGGCATTCCTGATGCCTCAACTCCGCAAGAAGTTGCCACAAGCTCCAAGGAGGTCAAGACGACCAAGAAGGCCGAGAGCTTCGTGATCCACACGTCATCCGAGGATGAGGACTTCAAGAAGCCAACTGAGGGATATTCAGGTCAGCCTGAGTATACTACGAAGGATCACTATGACAAGAAGCTCAAGATGAACTTCATGGTCTTCAACATGAAGAAAGAAGAGACACAGATGAGCTACCATACCATCCATGGGCAAGAACGCTATGGTCTGCTCATCGATCCCGGAGCTGCATCCGGGCTGGTTGGTAGCGAGACCCTCAGGATGCTCAAGAGTTGCTCCATGGGCGAGATGGAGATCAACCGCAACAAGATCACTCCAGTTTCCGGCATTTCAGGAAACAGCGAGTCAACTCTCGGAGAGGTCACGTTGACCATGGCGACCGCAGGACAACCCATCACCTACACGGCGGAGGTCATTGGTGGAGCTGGAAGCCTATGCCCAGCACTGGTTGGCAACCCGACTCTTCGTCGATTGGGTGCATCAATCTTGACAGATTGGTTTGAGAATGGTGATGGCATGCTTGTTCTGAACACCAAGGACGCCATGGATGCAGAGGTCAATCACGTGAAGTTCTTTAGGATCCTGCTCACAGATTCTGGACACTACATCCTGCCTTGTGACAACGTTCAGAACGAGAAGGTTCCAAGAGCTTCGAAGCACGAGGCCATCGCTTTCTTCCAGAAGATCACCGAGATCACTTCGAAAGTTTGGCCTGACGTGCAACCACGGGTCAGACACTGCTTCCATTCCCAGACGGCGGCAGAGGATGACCGGTGTGATTACAATCGTGAACATGAACGAGACAAAGGCCCAATGAAGAGGCAAGATCATGATGTTGGTTGTGATCATTTGGCTTGCGAGAATGGAGAAGAAGATGAACTACGGAATCCTGTTCCTTCGAGGAAGATTCACTTCATAGATGAGGAACAGCAGAAGAAGTCCGAGGAGCCCTACGACCTCATGAACAGCGAGAAGAACAAGAGCCTATCACCAATTGCAGAAGAGCGCGACTCCGAGGACGAAGTTTCACCATCAGCCATTTTGGCAGAGCAGTGCATGAAGAACGACAAGAGCAAAGAGCCTGCGAAGAATTCAAACCACTTGATCAACGAGCACCCTGCCGGACCTGCCATTTTGGCCCCGGCAATTCATGATGAACAAGGCCTACGTGAGGCAAGCTATGATGAAGAGAAGAACGTCTTCCTCAGCTACACTGGCGACATGATCCCCGAGACGGCAGATCAAGCCAAGTTGAAGAAACGATACAAAGCAATCCCTGAGGAGTTCTACACCAAGAGCGGATTGACGCCGGTGACTCCCAAGAACTTTGACAGCTGGTTCAAGAGAGTTCGAGGACGAGGATTGCGATGGCACTTCTGGGAGTTGTTCAGTGGCAGTGGAAGATTGTCGCTGACGTTGCTTCTTGCTGGACTCATGGTTGGTTTCCCCGTCGACTACCGGTACGGCTGGGACATGCGGGTAGCAAGCCATCGTGGTATGATCCACGCAGCTTACGAAGAGTTCCAACCTGGAGTGCTTCATATGTCTCCGGACTGTGCACCATGGTCAGTTGCGGCATCTACGAAAGATCCTGATGAGAAGATGTGTGAACGTCTACAAGATAGACCAGCTCTACAACTATGTCAAGATCTTTCTGCACGACAAGATGCCAATGGCCGTGGCTACAACATAGAACAACCTTATGGAGCACAATCATGGCAAGAACTTCCAGAGAATCCTCTACGACTGCAACGAATTCCTGGCAACAAGAGCAGACAGAGAGTGGACCAGTGCATGCATGGAGCTCAAGATGAACACGGCTACCCCATCATGAAGCCCACTGGCTTTGGATCCAACATTCGTTGGAAGCACACTGGACTTCGATGCGGAGGTCATTGCGGTGTTCCACACACTCAGCTCAAAGGCACAGGCCCATCTGGTCTGACCAGGACTTCGATGTCAGCAGTCTACCCAAAAGGAATGTGCCAGCGCATGAAGCAGGACATCATCCAGTACCTGGCCTACATGAACCTACTCAAGTCAAGCTGAAAACTTGGCCACATGATGCTTACGCAGTGACGCTTGGTCACTACTATGATTGTGTCCGATGCCAGCTTGGACGTCATTGTCCTCGCAACATAGAGCACACTTTGGTGCCTGGACAGTGTCGACATGGACGATGGCCATCCGAAGAAAATCCACGAAGAAAGAAGAAGCTTGAAGCTGAAATGGATGCCATGAAGAAGTGGAAGCAAGAGGCCGAGGCGGAGCTCTATGAGGGCGTGGAGATCAAGAACCTCACCAGCAAAGCGCTCTCCGTGCCAACTACACACATGCTCAAGAAGCTCCTCCTCGAAACCATCAACGCCACTATGGGTGTCTTCAATGAAGCAGCAAGAAGGAAGATCGACTATGTTCACTGGCTGGACAATCCTATGCTTATGAGCCTCTTCAAGGAGTTCTTCAAGGACCTGATCCAAGTCAAAGGAGTGAAGATTGAACTCCGACCTTTCCATCTTGCATCAGCAGAGCCGAAGCTTCCATTGACATCATCATACCTACGGATGCAAGTGAGAGGCAATGTGAAAGCATGGGACATTCACCCTCCAGAAGATTTGCGAGAGATGAGCTTCAGCCAGATCAACGCAGCACTCGACGAGGATGACTGGGCAATCACCATCTATGGAGTGGAGCACGATATGGCACCTTCGCCATCAACACCAGCATCAAGGCCAAGAACAAGACCTGATGAACCTGGTATCGTGCAGCCTGCCCAGAACCTCGACGAGATGGATGAGAAGAGCATAGCTGATCTCAAGAGAGCACCTTTGACACCTCCAGTAGTACTCGATCGACCAGGAGACCCAGCTGAACGAGATCCAACTCAGATTGCACCTTATGAAGATGAAGAACTGCAGACAAAGTCAGTTGAGGAGATCAAGCCATTGAAGCCGAACTACAACTTGCGAAGAGTGTTGGTTCGCATTCCTAAGCTCATGGAAGACGAGAACCACACGAAGGTCAAGCAACTCCTACTTGGTCTTCACGAGCGGCTTTGGCATTCTCCGATCTCCGACTTCACAAACTTACTGCAGAAAGCTGGAATGTCACCTGAAGTCATCAAGTTGGCGACTGAGGCGGTTCAATGCTGTGCCATCTGCAGGAAGTATGTCAGACTTCCCAATCGTCCACAAGTTCGAGCACGAGGAGCAAGCAGTTTCAATGAATCAGTACAGATGGACCTATTCATGTGGGAGAACACCTGGTTCATGCTTCTTTGTGATGAAGCAACTCGCTTCAAAATGTGCACGACGATTGAAGGACAAGAATCTGACGATTTGCTGACGGCATTTAAGAAGGCATGGATCTTTCTCTTTGGACCACCTCGGCGACTTGTTCTCGATCAACAAGTATCCTTGATGTCACATGAGACTGCAGCAGAGTTTGAACGACTCTCCATTGAGCGTGCGCCACGTGGCACAACACAAGGACATGGAGCCGAACAGCACACTGGCACTGGCTTGGTGGAACGACATGTGGGTCTGATGAAGCTCACCATGTACAAGCTACGAGCAGAACTTCAACGACAAGGCCTCGCGCCAGAGAATGAAGAGATAGCTCAGGAGAGCTGCATGGCTCACAACATCACCCTGTCCTACGGTGGCGTGACACCATCCATGGCAGTGTTTGGCACTCTTCCAAATGGCTTCTATGATCCTGAGAGCCGTGGCATTATGAGTGTTGTTGGAGCCCAGGAGACAGATGTCACTGTCTTTGAGAAGGCGATGAGAATCCGGCAAACAGCACTTGCACAAGCTCATCAAGCTGTGATTGAAGATCGTGTAGCACGAGCAGCCAGAACCAGGACACACCAGCTCGACCTCGACCAGCTCATTGCTGGCACATCAGAGGTTGAATTCTACAGAGAGGTGAAGAACGACCCTGGCTGGCGTGGACCTGCTTTGTTGCTACGACTGGACGCTGATGACGGTGTGGCAATCATCCAATATCAAGGAAAGCCATATCTGGTAGCACTCAGACACATCCGATCCTATAAGGGCATTTTCCACTTCACCTTGCCGAACATGGAGACAGAAGATGCCTTGAGGAAGTTGATGAGATTTGTCGAAAGCCTCACAGAATACAAGACGAACATCTATGGTTGGCTGAAGAGAAATGGCAAGTGGCGATTCTTCCCTCGTGAGGATGATCATGCAACGAAGATCATGTTGTGGGTGCAGCACATCTACAAAGGTTTGAGCAAGCATCAAGTCCATGGAGCTCTACTTGGACGAAGCTTGCGGAACATCAAGCCTCCATCGAACACAGTTGGTCATCTCATCTCATGGATTCATGGAGGACAAGGCTACGCCGTGCAAGAGCACTTCTCCGACGGATTCTTGAAGATGAAGAGGGTTTCCAACTACTCTCGTGAAGAGATGTGCACCATCTACTTGTTCCATTATCATCCTGATCCTGTGGAAGAGCCAGCAAGTCAGTCGACCATCAACAAGGATGACGACAAGATGGACGTCAACGTTCCCGATGACAGAGGCGAGAAGAGAGATGCACCAGAGACCAGAACAGTGGTCATGGCACCCGAGAAGAAGAGGCAGCGCATATATAATGTGAAGAAAGAGCTCGATTTTCTACGACACCTGCATGTCAACATGACTGAGAACCACATCATTCAGATCGATTGTGGACATGATTGGTTGACAGGTTGTCACATGTGGTCAGAAGTATGCAATCAGTTCATGGTGGAAAAACATCTCCGGGAGAAAGAGAAGCTTCCTCAATTGTTCCACTTCCACTACAAAAGGACGCATCAAGCATACGCATGCCTCAGAACTGCAGAGATCTACCAGGTAGATCAGGAGACTCGCAACATTGAAGAAGCAGACATCACGGCCGACATTTGGCCTGCTGTTGAAGAAGCTGATCGCAACGAGATCAAGCAGTTTGTTGACGAGAAAGCATTCGCAAAGATCCACAAGATGAAGATCACAGGAGAGTACGTGCAGATTGATGCACGGTGGGTTCGCAAGCGAAAGCGCTATCCTGACAAGAGCATTCGCATCAAGTCTCGACTTTGTGCGCGTGGTTGTTTGGATGGACAGAAAGGAGAGCTCACGACAAGGTCAACGACTGCGACAAGGCTAAGCCAAAGGATCCTGGTATCCAGAGCATCATGGTCACGCAAGATGAGCCTGGAAAGCTTGGACATTGCTGGAGCATTTCTCAAGGGCTTTGACTTTGAGAAGATCCGGAAGACCCTGCAGAAGAAAGGCATTCAAGCGCCTGTCCGCATGGCGGTGATATTTCCTCCACTTAATGTTTGGCGACATCTGGCGGAATTCTCTGACGAGTTCAAGGTTCCTGAACGAGAGTTGCACAACTATGGACTGCTATGTTTGAAGCCTGTTTATGGGTTGAATGACGCTCCATTGGCTTGGCAGTTTTCTCTACATGATTTCATCCGAGAAAGCGGCGCGGAACCATCTCACCTAGATGAGAACTGTTGGACATGGAAGAAGGATGGTGAGAACATTGCAATGGTCACGACGCATGTGGATGACTTGGCGATCACTGGAACGCCTGAGTGGCTGGACGATGCATATGATTCCTTTGTCAAGAAGTTTGGCAAAGTGACACGACAGCAATTGCCATTCACTCATTGTGGTTGTGAGTACCTTCGTACTGCAGACGGCTACATGATCAGCCAGCAGGAGTTTTCAGAAAAGATTACACCTGCACCTGTCCCTGCAAGAGAAGATGATTCCAGATTGACACCAGCAGAAGTCTCAGATCTGCGATCCATCCTAGGAGCACTTCTTTGGGTGACAGCGACACGGCTGGACGTGATTGCGGATGTTTCAGCACTACAATCACGAGTGACAGTAGCAGAGGTCAAGGATTTGAAGCAGGCAAACAATGTGCTCATGAAGGTGAAGGAGTTTGCAGATGTTGGTTTGCACTACCGCTACTTCAGGACAAAGCATCGACGACTAGTTTGCTTTCATGATGCTTCGGCAGCCAGCAAGGGCCGGAACTATGCCCAGGAAGGTGTAGTCATTGCTTTGGCCGATGACGAATGGCGGAACATCACGATTGACTTTGAGCACACCTGCGAGACTGAGGAGCACGAACTCATGCATGGATTATGATGTAAAATAGCTAGATAAGACAAGGGGGTCTATAACTTAAAAATAAAAATATAAAAAAGTCCAAACCCACTTCAAAAGTCCAACCAAAACTCACCTCTCACCAGGCAAGTCCAAGCCTAACTCAAAAGTTCGAGGCAAAGTCCAAGCAAAACTCACAGGTTCAAAGGAAAGCTCAAGCGAAACTCAAGGAGCTAGGGAAACCAGGGAAGCGCCCGCTCAGCGAGTTTTGGGCGAGCTTTGCGCGAGCTTTTGACGAGCTTTGGTAGAAGAAAACTAGACAAAAGCTCAAATCGAAGCTCAAAAACTGAATGCGCGCGAGCTTTTCACGAGCTTTCTGCGAGCTTAGCTCGAAATAAACTAGCACCGAACTCACCACGACGCTCACGCCGCGGGAAACTACTTTTGCGCGAGCTTTAATTGGACTTTCCCTGAGTTTTGCTTGAACTTTTTAATGATCAGTTGAATTTGCTTTGGACTTTCCTGTTGGCTCTTGAGCTTCCATTGGACATCAGCACAGCGCAAGCGAGTTTTAAGCGAGCTTGAAAACGAGTTTTGGGCGAGCTTTAAGCGAGCTTAAGAGGCCCCTGTCTTATCTGCTATTTTACGTCATAATGCATGGAGGAGTAATGCATGTTTTGCATTCACATGGAGCAAAAGCCAAGAGGGTGAGCTACAGCACATCACATGGTGAGACACTAGCCATGGTGAACGCCTTGGAATCTGCAACATTGTGTATGATCAGGCTCAGCGAGATGCTCCATCCTCAACATCCTCCATCGTTGAAGGACCTCATCAAGATCCAGACAGCTGGAAATCCAGAGATGCCTCTGGACATGTATGGAGATGCTAGAGATGTCTATGAGCTCATCACAGGCAGCAAGACGATGCCTCAGGACAAGACACAGCGGCTCTACGTTTTGTCCATAAAGGAAGCACGATTGGATGGCAGAGTTCGAATGGTGACGTTGGTCCCAACGAACTACATGCTTGCCGATTCCCTCACCAAGTCCATGGTCCATGAAATGATGCTGATGTTGTTGACAACAGGTTTAATCAGACTGCATGGAGTGGAGAAGCATCCAATTGTGACAAGGGTTCTTCCGACCATCGACTTTGACGAGCACGACCTTATGCTGAAGGACGAGGAGATGATCCTGAAGGCAGAGAAGGATGAGAGCATGGTGCGAACGACACATGCTTCAGTGCTTGTGGGACTGGCAGCGTTTGCCACTTCCAAGAAGATGCTGGCGGCGATGATGCCGACTTTAGCATTTGGAACTTTGGTGGATGCGCAATCCACTGAACCGGAGAATCAAGAGCAGAAGAGCTACTTCTCCGTGTACCTCATGATTTTCATCACGGTGATTTTGGCGGTGATGCTTGAGAGAATGGTGACAAGTTGGATGAGCAAGAAGAGAAGAGTCCAACATGTGAAGATCGAGTCCGACGACGACGATGACATGGATGTCGATCAAGAAGGAGATCAACCATCATTCTCAGGAGCATCCTTCCAACGGAAGAGGAAAGCAAGTCCTCGAGACACATGGGAAGATCTTGCACGAAAGGTCATTGACGAGAAGGAGACGCTGAAGCGAAAGAACAAGAAAAGCGAAGAAGATGCACACCTACAGCAACAGGAGATCGACAGCCTCAAGTTTGACAATGAATGGTGGAAAGATAAATATGAGAAGCTTGAGGAGAAGTACGATGACAAGGACTTCGAGCTGAAGAACCTCAAGAATGACATGACAGTGGTCAATGCAAGGAAAATGGTGCTCGAATCTACGGTCAGCGACATGAGAGCTGGACTAGTGAAGCTTGAAGATGAGAATGCCGAATTGAAGATGAAGCTGGACAGAAAGACAGCAGCATCATCGGAGAGACCAGCACCGCTGACACCAAGGATCACGGACAATGCCGAGATGGCCGGCGAGATCGAGAAGCTGCAGAAGATGGTCAAGTTCAAGGACCAGGAGATCATGAGACACCTGGCTCGCATCAAGAGCTTGGAGCTGCCGGAAGCCATCTTCATCACGAAGACTGGCAAGAAGTTCCATCGAGAAGGATGTCCACATCTGAGAGAGGGCGAACATGTGAGGCCAAGAGAAGCCTTTGGCAAATGCAGCAGCTGTTGCGGCTGAGCATTTTTTTTGGCTGAAAGAAGCCAGCTTGCCCAGACGAGCGATCAAGAGGATGACCGGAGTGAAATTCTGAGTTCATGCCTCACGGCCTTATGGCTATGATCAAGTGTAGAACATGTTTCACATGACACGATACCGCAGGCGCCTTGGGCACAAATCTGTCGAGTGGTTGTTTCAGGGGTCAATGAGGCATATATACCATGCATGGAGTGTTTGGGTAATTGGTGGATGTTTGCAATTATACATAATTTCATAATGTATGTGTGTTGTTTGATGCCTGTGTTTTGTATTGTTTTCTTCGGGATCAAATCAAAGGTGGACGGGTGGCAGCAACAAGGAACACCACATGTTGTGTGGCATATGCCGGGGACCCTCATCAGGGCATCACTAAAACGACATAAACATGACAAATACACATAATATCACATAAGACGCATGATACACATGCGACTCTATGAATTCCACCATGTGGCTTTGTAAAGTTCTTGAAATCAGACATCTATTGTTCTTGACTTTAGCAAGACAGCCTTCTCTGCTTCCAAAAGACCTGGATCCGTTTTTCGTCTCCGACACCGTGTCGGTTGGCCGCGACCCAGGCGGATCGGAGGACCCAAGCAGAGCTCCAGCCGCGGCTTCAAGGTCTTCACCGGCGGTGCCCTGGGCTGCACGAAGCGCCCGATCCGCGTGGTGCGGATCGGGGTGCGGGGCGATCTGTGAGCTGCGCCCGATCTGCGGGGCGCAGCGGGCGGCGCAGGTGAGCTGCGTGCCGCTCGTGAGAGTTTGGATTCTGTGAGGGAGACCAGGGCGAGCCTTGCGCGTGGAGCCACCCTTTGCGCGTTCTCCAGTGACCTCTCACAGCTTCTCAAGCTCCGTCGAAACCAAACAGTGTGACGTGACGCCAGGTGACCTGTCTCCCTCCGTGGATTTTGGAGACGAACACGAGAATTCCAACCACCATGCATTTAATATACCATGTTTACCATGTTGCAAGTCTAAACGACAAAGAGGCTTGCCTTCCAAATGTTTGTGAAACCATCAACCACCCAAGGCGAGAATGAAGCTGATGAGGCGCTGCTGATGAGACTGATCGGTTTGGAGCAAGGATCAGGAAGGGGGATCTGGGAGTGGATCTGGGATGAAGTCGACCGCGAAGGACTGCGAGTTCAACGCGAAGCCTTTCATGGATAGGGCTTGAGTATGATTCCACCTTCATCACGTTGATTGAATTTGTGCACAAATGGCCTTCCAAACCAGGAGACTGGGGTGCATAAAGTCCAAACACAGCATTGCCCTCGGTCGTCGTTCCCATCATGCAAGTTTGGAAGGATATATACAGGTCCAGGTGCATCCTGAAGAGGAAGATGAGTCTCCGATGTTGATCAACAACACATGCACTGCACCGACCCTTATCAAGAAGAAAGTAAGCACCTCCGACCACCTGTACCTTCCCCGGTCGTCACGGCGCCACTCTCCCAACGACAACGGTCCCAGTGAGGATCCGCCCAGCGAAAAACCCCAAGGAGTGAAAGAGAGGGCACATCTCACAGACGATGAGGCTTTTGGTGGATCAGTACCTGGAGCTTCTTTCGGGGTGTCCTGTTTGGAGGTCCCTTATTAGTAGTGTAGGGGCTTCCAGCCAGGTGACCCCTTTGAAGGTGCTGGTATGAGCATCCACTCAGGTGTCAGGTGTCATTCTGGTACACAGACAGACATCAGATTTCTTTGTCCAGCAGGAAAGATCACGTGCACAAACATGAAGAGCATCAGTTCAATGAGAAGGTAGCCATTGTTGTGGGAAATCCTGGATATCCAGTCTCTGTGTCCAATCTCTCTTGGGCACCGTGTTTCGGGTCACAACCGGGCGGCCTCTCTTTGCAGGTGAAGTCAACGACCAAAAGTCAGTTGGAGGAGCTGGGCCTCGAGGAGCGGACGGGGAGTCTTCCCCGAGCGCCGATGGATGATCCGAGCAGGTTCTCAGGGTGTCAAAGACGTTGTTTTTGACAGCATCATCGTTTGCATCATGGACTGGGCTGTTTAGGCTGTGGTTTTTAGAGATGGATTATTTGGGTGTATACAGATGTATACAGTGTTGGATTATTTGAAGCCCAAAGACTCATATATATGTATATAATTATATATATGTTTTATATACACACTATTTTGTTAATTACCTTTGAACATTCTGAACGGTCTGAACGGAACCCCTATGTTTGTTTGTTTTTCAGATTTTTTCTGGGATCTTTCTTCGTGTTTTTTCCCCCTGCTGCTTTTGCTTTTTGCTTTTTGCTTGTGCTTTTGCTTTGCTTCTGCTTGTGCTTTTTGCATCTTTTTGCTTCTGCTTCTGCTTTTGCTTTTTGCTTTTGGCTTTTGCATTGGCTTTTGCTTTTTGCTTTTGCGGTTGCTTTTCCTTCTGCTTTTGCTTTTGCTTTTTGCTTCTGCCTGTGCTTTTGCTTTTGCTGACTATCTTCTTTGCATTGACGCTGCGACAAAGTTGGATGATAAGACCTTCACCTTCAGCTTTGACACCCAATTACACCAATCAAGAAACGAAGTAGCCCAGCGCTGTCTATATTTGATTTGCATTGCGGGGGAGGCGCTGCGCCCTCCCCCGCACCCCCTCCCGCTTTGTTTGTTTTTTTGAATAGTTCCCACTACCGTCCACCACCCCTACTATTTCCAATACCTCTATCACTCGGACCACCCCGCTACGAGTCTTACCACAGTTACCACAACAACTATTTTCTTTGCGTTGACGCTGCCACAAAGGTGGATTTCTACTTTGCTTAGCCCAAAGAAACCCAAGACCACTGAAACTCAAAGACAACCGCAGAGAAGTCCCTATTATAATAGTTCCTCTCTCCGCTTTCCTCACTCCTGCTTCTCCTTCGTTAAGTGGATGCCTTTTCCGGAAGAACGCCTAAAGAAACCCTAAAGACAAGAAACCGAGCCCAAAGAAACCCGAAACCAGTGAAGCTAAAGACAACCGCAAAGAAGTCCATAGTAAGTGGAATACCGTTTCTGTTCCCTCCCTTACTGTCACGCTGGCTTTGGTGCTTCGTCCCCTGCCCTTTCTGCTGCTCCTAGTGCTTGTAAAGCACTCCCAGCAGAAGCAAAAGCAAAAACAGTAGGAAAAAAACGTGAACAAATACGGAAAAACCTGAAACAACTTCCCGGAACAAATATCAATCCTCGCTGAACACCCAGGGCAACGATTTGGTTTGTCTCGTTTGGGCCGGTTTTGTTTCTGATTCAGAATGGGAAACTTCCACAAGCTGATCACTGATGTGTGAAGCATATGGGACAGCAACCGAAGGATCGTTCTGGATCGTTGGGCCCAATTTTACTTGTGAGAGATTGGACGGTAGACAGATAGAAAGATGAATTAGGATGCCATGGAGGGGTTTGGAGTCTCAAATCCCTAGGTTTTGAGGGACCGGATGTAGAGCTGTGAAGTGAGTGTTTGGAAAGCACACTTTGCGCTATTTGTGCTGTGCACTTGCGCACGTTCGATTCAATTGGTGCCTTTTTGATCCTTTTTTTTCTGAAGCTTTAGGTATCCCACGAAAAACGGCTGGCTCAAGAAGTGCACTATCTGAGTGTGACACACTTATAGATATGCGAACTGAACTGACAGCGGTGCCACACGCCAGCCTAAGTGAAACCCTAAGAAATCAAGGTGAGTAAGGGGAAAGCTCCACCAATCTCCAAAGCTGAAAGTTCTGAAGTCGCGATCTCCAAAGCTCAACGATGGTGAGGCCAGCGCCAGACAATTACTGCAAAACACAGAATTGGAACAGCTTGTCCATTACGTAGGTTTTCTGCCAAGCAGGTACGTCAATCCGGCGTCCCGGATTGATTTCACAGATGCAACACTGGCGTCTTCGTTGGTGCCAGTCCAGTGTGCATCCCTGGCACCCCCTGCTAAAAACAATTCAAAAAGAATCCCTGTGACTACAAGGGGCACACACACACACGCCTTTGAAGGGGAGGGGCTCTTACCTAGTAGCGTCCTTGCACCCAGTAGTAAGGCCAGGAGCCCCTAGTAGCGTCCCACTCTAAGGTCCTGACAGGAGGGAGGGGTAGGGAGAGAAGAGAAGAAAGAAAAAGAAGAAAGGAAAGGAAAAGAAGGTGTTCCCAGCTACGACACAAGCGTCCACTAGAAGGGTTCCCAGCTATGACGAAAGCATCCAGGGACACCCAAACAAGAAGGAGGGAAAGGAAAGGAAGGAGAAAAGAGAGAG